AAGTGATGAAGTTGCATCATTCCCTCCCTCCTGCATTGCCTAAACCGTTATGCTTGTGAGGCCTGATTCTGTTAATGGCGAAAGCTGGGCTAAAACACATTTGGAGACAGCAGGATGGGCAAGCAAGTCCTCTAATGTAAAAAGGGGGGGGGGGTGTATTCCCTGGAGCTCCGATATATCAAATGTATCCCTTCTTGTATAATTGGGACTGGTCATCAAGGTCATGTAACCAAAAAATATGAGCACAAAAAAAAGCAACAGTGTTCCAAGTGGTTATTTATTTGAAAACATCAAAGTATCGCACCAATAATACCGCCTCTCAATAGTTTCGTAAAAGAACAATGTTGTTCATAGCACTCATGCATTCATTCATTCATCCTATGGGCCCCACACAGTCTACGGCAATAAATATCTTCAAGGTACAAGGGAGATAGTACTCCCAGTTTAACACCTGATTCCTATCGGTAATTATGTCCCTGTTTAGCGATGATGTTTAGCTCAGAGAAGATAGATCTTGTGCATCTACTTAGGGATATAACTATGACCAGTTCTTTTTGGCAGATGATACATCCAAAAATATAGTGGGTGAAATCTGTTAATCGGTTGTTAGGGAGAGGAAGTCTCTATGGATAGTGCACTTAAAGATAAAAGCGGTCCATCTGGGGCATGTATGTCTGCATTGGCCTCCGTGTGTCGATACCTTTCGTAGATCTATTTGTTAGGGGATCTTAATCACATTAATAAATTCCTCCTGTTGTTGAATTTATTCAAGGGGGAGACCTGTGCGGGACCAGTTGGTAATAGGTAGCAGTCGACCGTGCTCACAGTTAGTTGTCTTGCACCCCTCCTTTTTGGGTCTGGGAACTTTTGTAGTTCAGCGTTGATAAGACATACTATTGTCAGTTTTTTTACTGCCACTCTTTCAGACTTTAGTTGTCCTTGAAAAACCACTCCAAAACCCCCCTCTCCAATTTTATTGCCTCCTTGAGAAACTGGACGATCATCAAAATTTCTTGTAATTCTTTTCAGTTCATTAAAGGAGAAAATACCAAACCCTGTAAAATCGAAATACATCAAAAATAATGGATTAAAAGCATATGGCTGATGCATACATAACATAATACAACAAAAATAAATAGAATCAAATGACCTCAGATACAAATACAACAGGTATAGCGATGATAAATCAGTAGTGGTATTTACTATATGCTAGATTTCCTTTAAAAAAATAAATACATTACAAATAAATAAAATGCTCTTTGTACAGCCATATGAAACTAAGGGCAGTGCAGATGATGAAGCTGCTCCTGCCAAAACTCCTCCTTCTTGTTTACCAGCTGTGTGAACATTTCATTGTATACGCCATTTCTCTTCACTTTGTCTGTTCTATTATTGGCTTACCGAGTCTCTAGTAGGCTTATAAACATAAAAAATGTTAAAGTGTACCCCCTTTAAAGAAAAAACGAAGTAGCATCGCAAGAACTAAATTGAGACAGTCTAAGGGTTCTGAATAAAATATACAGAGGTTTATTTTAAATTTTTACAAGGGCCCTGTGAATTCTAGCTATGCATTTGAATAAAGTATGTTGGCAAGAAATAGTTGAAAATGTATGCAACACAACCTGCAATAGAGCATGACCGCACCAGATCAATTCTAAATCCAAGTTATTAAAGCATGCAAAGCCACATAACAATCATTTGGTCTATCAAAATAACTATTTATGTGTTTGCTTGAATCTTGCCCCAGTACTTCAGCCTAATCTTAAAAAAGATAAGCAAGCTTCTTTTGTAGCTTCATAAGTGATATAAAAAAAAAAAAACAATATTCTTATATGCAGTCATGGAAATATTATATGACCTTTAAAACAGAACTAAAGCCAAATCTTTTAGCTGTAGTCCTTTTTTGGGGTCAGTGGAGTACATTTACTAATGTACCCAAAGTCAGCATCTCAAGGGCTACTACCCGCTAATTACTGACAGCGCAGAGCCGCCCAGCCGCAGACTGAATGTTACATTGTGGTATCCTTATTCCTCATGCTCATTTATACAAAGCCTCATCCTCACTATGTCACAGCTAAAAACAGGTCTGACCAAAGGAAAAGCTAGTTTGTTAGTTGTTCCCCCATTACTGAACCGTTCTATTAGTCAGCACGATGAGACCCCTTTCATACAGGCGTACCGATCAGGTCCACCTGCCAGTTTTTTAAGTGGACCCAATCTGATGCCCAATGTAAGTCTATGGGCAGACGTGTGTCCGTTTACATCCGGTTGCCCCCGCCTCTGTCCAGGTCCAGAAAAACAAACTGAACAGTGTTTTGCCAGACCTGATCAGATGTAATCTGATATAAACGGACACATGTCCATTTACATCCCATTTCCCATAGACAGACATGGGGTCCGGTCATTTCAGCTTTTTTCTTCATTGCAAGATGGAGGAAAAAACTGGATGGACACGGAAGTCATAGCAGTAACATCTGATTGGTACCATTCCGATCTGGATGCATGCATGGACCCCCTCCTTATCAGGTAGTGTGAAAGGGGCCTAAGGAGTAAGTGAGCACAGACAAACACTTTGTGCAGTTTAAAGTACACCTATAGCCAAACTTTTTTTTCCAGGTTTGGATAGAGCAGGACAGGGGTAGACAACCTCAGCACTCCAGTGTTAAAATTATAAGTCTTATGATGCATTACAAGATTCTGACAGCCACAGGAGTGTCAAGGTCGCCTGTCCCTGGAGTAGGAAATGGTTAAAACCATTAGGTGTTTTATTGTTGCTTGTGTCCCATTAGCAAAATATCCCTTCACTTTCTCTCCCATAGACACGGGAAACCTTTATAAATTGAGGGGAAATCTCCTGTCATTCATCATTGGAAAAGATTGAAAGATCTAGGGCTGGATTTCCATTTCGGGCACCTGTAGGCACCATTGAAAATCTGTTTAGCCTGAGCCAGCGCCCTTACCTGTTGCGGGATCAATCGGCTTTCACACATGATGCAGAGAAGGACCCCGGCATCACAAAAGGCTGTCCACATCAGACAGGCGTTTTATAGGGCAGCCTTACGCAGCGCTGGAGTCCTTCCCTGCATTTGCAGAAGCTGGCGGTTCCTGTGGGTGCCACTGGTCTTGGAGCGGCCTAGGGTGCATTTTGTGCAGAATGCACTCTCCTTGCTATTGCTGGTGGTGTATCTTGACACAACACCGGCCATTAGGCAGAGTAGGTACCTGCATTGAGGGCATGTGTAGGCATGTGAATACTCTGCCTAATGGTAAATCTGGCCCTGGAAAGATCTCTCCTCTATTCCTGTTTTGGCAACACCTGTAAAATTTCTGATTTCCATCTTTTTCTGTCCTAATTAAAATTGTAACCAGGACATATGGAGAGGGTAAATCTCACGGACAGCAATGAATACCTCACACAACTTCTAACACTTCCACACTCTATCCGAAAGGAAAACAAAAGTTTGGGCTTTAGATATTAGCGAACATTTGCATATACTTTTCTTATTTATATAGACTAAGTAAGGGTTAGAACTTGTAAGGCTTTTAGTCCCACCTGGGTCCTTGTTGGTAAATGGTCCCCTACTTCTTGTCGCAGTGGTCCCTTCCTCTACAAAGTTGGGAAGATTATTATTTGAACTTCCAATTGCTAATCTGACTGACTGCGAACATTGTTCGTAACAGATAAGTGCTGTCCATTAGAGCTGGCAGGGATCTGAAGGGAATTTTGCAATAATAATAATAATAATATACATGCCAGCTTCTAGCTAATTATGTCTGGTAACCCATGCACTAGCGTTTGCAGCACTTATGTTGACAAACATGCTGTGTAGTGAATTTTGTATGGCGATAGAATGGCTGGTAATTTATGTCCATAAAGAGAACTACATTTCAGCTTCAGTGCTTTTCTAGGACCCACTACAAGCTACTTTTACTTATCACCACAGAATGGTGCAATAAATGGGCCTTTTGGATAATTTGTGAAGTGACTGCAAGCAAACCTTTCATTTGCCCCTTCATGTAAAGCAACAGGTTTCCTTTAACCTCCCTATACCCAGCAGAATATATGCCTTGCCTTCATTCCCCAGCTGCATTCAGCATAGGAAGCCAAAGGAAATATCCAGTACGTTTGGGTATGGTGTACCATGTGACTATGATGGGTGCTGTATAACTGTCAGAAATATTTAAGACAAGATATGGGGTATGTGGATAACAATATTGCCATTATTGGGTGGGTAAGGGTTTTTCTAGGTTGTAAGAATTTATATGATGCCAACTAACAAAATCTGCCATTTTCTTTGGCTCTTTTTGGAAAAAGCACAAGTTCTCAATCCATTGTGAAAAGCGTTCAGGTTGGACTGGTACAGAACAGTCCTGGGCAGGTAAACTATGTTTGCTGCATGCCTTTCAAGGGTTCATTTTCAATAATATCTGGAGTGTTTCTTTGATTCTCTCCCATTGGTAAAAGTGTTAACTGGTTGTATTTAGCAATTTCCATGGATGATTTCAATACATTATTCTTCTTGTAATTAGTTCACAGTTCATTAATTGTTTTCTCACTTCTTCTGCCAGTAAAATAAGAGGGTAGAATAGAGGAAATATAACCTTTGAGGTGGATTACTATTTTTTCTTATATTCCGCAATACTCTATAGGTCAAACTCAACTCAGAATACCATCTTTATAGGAGCACTGTAGTTATGCTGTTGTATTTATTGGGTAACTTGACTAAATACCACTCAGTGAAGGGGACTAAGTGCTCTCTGTCACGTTTGTGCCTCTATCTCAAAATAGAAAATATTATCTTTACTTACTTGTTTTGAAAAATGAATACAAACAACAGACATGTATCTTTTGAATTCCAGCCTAGAAGCTTTAAGTAATTTAAAATGAGAATGCAGGATCTGGTCAGACAAATATTCATGTATGTGATAGCCACAGAACAATAGGATGCAGGCTGACCTTGTACAATTTTAAAAGTGCAATACCTGTCTCTTCATCATTCTCCTCTGGATCTATGCTTTGACAAACAGGGTTTCCATGATTGGTTTGGTTACATTTTTCAGGTGTGGTCTGCTTTTTCTCCAAATCGCCGATAGGGATTGTTGGGCAGGCAGAACTTGTTTCTTGATCTGTTCAAATGCAAAGATAAACCAAAACATGATGCATGGTTAGATCTTATGTACACAGAAGTGTTTCTAGGGTCCTAAAACAGCATTCATCTTATGTATACCAGAGTGCTTATATGGTCCTAAAACGGCACAGAGCACCTTGACTAAAATGTTGGAGGGTTTGTAGTATACCATGATAAAAAGTGGGTGACATTTCTCCTCCTCCACTCAAATCACTTTGTGCACTCTCTTTTCCCTGCAAGCTCCCCAGTAGTCTTTACAATATGCTACTCATGTACACTCTCCCTCTATAGAGTGATACGGAATGAGAGTGTATGACCTTAGGGTGTAAATCAGCACTGGAAATGCGGACCAAGGTAGTTCACCTGCTTTTCACTCTGCCAAGGCTACCAGCACTTTATGGATGAGCCAGATGGAGCCTAGAACCATTTGGAACAATAAACAAAAAATGTTTTTCCTGTTTTCCTGTTTAATTCATTGGCATTAAAAATCCTCTATGGATCAGATCTCTAATTCCATACACATAATGATATGACTGAACATAAAAAGGACATGAATGACAAAATAAATCATAAATCAATTAATATAGCAAAAGTGTAATGTGCATATAATATGTATCATTGTAAATCTCAAACTTGTTTTCTTTTTGTGCTAGATATGTGTTTACAGGTCCATGGCCGTCTCTTTTTTTTTTTGCAACATGCCTGAAGCTGAAAAAAAAGTTGCACTCACCTAGTCCTTGGAGCTGACTTGTTCTTAGACTGGTCCCAGGAGCCTCTCTCCCCCTCCACTGCAGTGGTCTAAGGTCCTGTAAATCATCACAAGAGGACACTGAGGGACATACCATCTCTGCACCAAAGGAAGAAACTGGCTTCAAGGACTAGAGTAACAGCCAGCCCGCTCCGCAGTTCAGGTGAGTGGAACTTTTATTTAAGTACTTAGACAGAAAGAAGCATTTAACCTTTCGCTGTTCGGGGGTAGCCCAACTGCAAGGGTTAAAGGAGAACTATGAGGTGAGTGATTTACCCTCATCCTCATAGTTAGAGCCAACGTGTGACATTTAACTGTCAAACATCGGCTCTATTGATCGGGAAGTCAGGAAACACATACTGCCGCTCGCTTCCCGATCATCTCCCTTGCAGAGAGCGGTGACTCTCAGTCACCGTTGCCCGCAGGGATTCACCCCTCGAGCGCTGACTGGAGGGATGTACAAGGGAGGGGGGGTGGGCACAGCTGGCTCTGCCTCTAGATAGTCAATTAGCCAGTTGGGTGACCTCAATAGTATTGTCGGGATCTGTTCCGGCTGCGGCGCTCTCAGCATATAGCGGCAATAGCCTGCTATATACTGAGCTTTGGGTCCTCCCGTGACCCTAGGGAGAACTATGTGAAGAAAAGGTTACCCCATAGTTCTCTTTTAAGAACACTTTTGCCCAGAGTTCTTTAAGGATACAAAAAGGTAGGGATTGTAGGCTTGCAGTAACAATGAGACAGGTGATCTCATCACTCAGCCCATTCTTCCTGTCAGCAATCTCCCTCTCTTAGAACAACTGCACACTGCAGCAGAGCGCTATTGGGTGAGACTGCTACTTTTCCCTATTGCAGGTTGAGTACTGCTGTACAGGTAAAGTACAGTAAACGCAAATTCAGGCACCCATAATGGTTTGAATTTAAAATATATGTAGCAGAGTCGTTGTCTTATTGAGAGAACTGGCCAAGTGGTTTAAAGTGTAATTATTTCCTGTGAGTCCTAGGTTACAAAGCATCAACAAGGTCTCTTTCTCTTCTTTTTTTTTTTTTAACACGCCAACTTTAATTTTATTGTAACCCTTGATTCTGTAATCTTTACAAATGGCAAAAGAATTACCACAGAGCAAAACTGAAGCGGCGGTCAAAAAATTATTCTTCCGAAGTAGGTCAGTGAGATCGCGGACGGTGCAGTTTGTGGTCCCCCAGTCATAAAGTAATTCTTGCGTTGGACTTTTTCCCTTTTGGATGCTTCCTTCAAATCGCCTTCCAAATAAGGTAAAAATATAAATAAATTATAAATCAATGATATCAAATACATAAAGTAAATAAATTACCTATGCATAAGAAAACATGCAACACCACGCACAGTAAAATAACAACATAAATAAAATATTTAAGAAAACAAAACAAAAAACAGAACAAATTATTCAGCATTAGAACTTTTTATGCAATAAAACTAAGACATATGATACACCAAAGATTTTATGACGATAAGTGATTTCATGGCATATATACACTGAGTGGCCAGATTATTATGACCACCTGACGTTTGTAGGCAAATTAGCTATAATTTTGGGCTGAAGTTGCTAGAGGGCCAGACCATTATAAATAGGGAAGCAGGTTGTTTACCACGACAGTAGAAGGGATTTTTTTCTGAAGATATGGGTAAACAACGCGATTTAACAGCCTTTGAACGTGGGATGATTGTTGGCGCTCGGAGCCATGGAGCGAGTATCAGCAAAACAGCAGAATTCGTGAAATGTTCAAGAGCAGCTGTTGTTAAAGTGTTTAAAGACTGGGCTGTCAGCCAAAAATCTGGGTCTGAACGTGCGAATTGTGGCCGTCAGCGACTAGTCAATGTTAGGGCAGAACGGAGAGTGGCAAGACTGGTACAAGACAACAAAAGGGCAACAGTACAGTGTCAGATTCCTTGCATCACCTTTCAACATCTCGTGGAGTCACGAGGCGGCCCAACAAAGTCATCTCGTGGAGTTATCTCGTGGCCCAACGAAGTACTGATTAGGTGGTCATAATAATCTGGCCACTCAGTGTACAATAAAAAAATGAATGCCCAGGCATTGAAACAAATGTTTCCCTTAAGTTGCCTTTCAAATAAAATGATAAATGCAAGCTTTACATAGAGACTATCAAACACATTAATCAGAGTAAATAAATAACCTATACACAATAGCACCATGCACAGCAAGATAACAAAAAAAAAATACATAATAAGAGCACAGCACAAACATTGAGCAAGAAAACATGGTATGCTTTAAGATTGATACAAATTACATACCAAAGATGTTACAAATATAAGTGATACAAAATAATGATAAAGAATACTAAGCAGCATAGATACAATAAAAAACCCAGACAATTATACAAATGCTGGTTTAAAAGTAGTGTACTTTAGGTAAGGTAAACAAACACTATGGGGTCTATTTATACAAAATTTGCAGATCCATTGGCTGTATGAATCTCTGTGAATGTTCATCCTGTGCAAATGAATGCAGAAAAAGAATGTTCTTGTTATATTTTCTTTACAAGTTGAATGTACATCAATCAGCCATAACATTATGACCACTGAGAGGTGAAGTGAATTAAGCTAGCCATACACCTTACAATTATCTGCAGATTTCCTGTGGTCAGATGGAAAAGGTGGAACAGATTCCTCCATCTACACTTAACTGTGTGTATGGAGTAATCTCCACCTGGGCCAATCTGTTGCACTTTTTCCATCTGACCACAGAAAATATGCAGATAATTGTAAGGTGTATGGGCACCTTAACCTCGATCATGTTGTTAAAATGACACCTGAAAGTTGATGGGATATATTAGGCAGCAAGTGAACATTTTGTCCCTGAGGTTGATGTGTTGGAAGCAGAAACGGGCAGAAATGGTCAAGGGTAAGGATTTGAGTGACTTTGACAAGGGGCAAATTGTGATGGCTAGACGACTGGGTCAGAACAACTCCAAAACTGCAGCTCTAGTGGGATGTTCCCTATCTGCAGTGGTCAGGACCTACCAAAAGTGGTCCAGGGAAGGAAAACCGGGGAACCCGGTGACAAGGTCATGGGCACCCAAGGCTCACTGATGCACGTGGGAAGCGAAGTCTGGCCCATGTAGCCCAATCCAATAGAAGAACTACGGTAGCTCAGATTTCTAAAAAAGTTTATGCTTGTTCTGATAGAAGGGTATCTGAACACACAGTACATCACAGTTTATTGCATATGGAGCTGTGTTGCCGCAGACTGGTCAGGGTGCCCATGCTGACCAGTGTCCAGTGCCAAAAGCACCTACAATGGGCATGTGAGCATCGGAACTGGACCAGGAAGCAATGGAAGAAGGTGGCCTGGTTGGAAGAATCACATTTTCTTTTACAACATGTGGAGGGCAGAGTACATGTCTGTCCCTTACCTGGGGAAGAGACGGCACCAAAATGCATTATGAGAAAAAGGCAAGCCGGCGGAGACAGTGTGATGCTTTGGGCAATGTTCTGCTCAGAAATTTTGGGTCCTGTCATTTATGTGGATGATACTTTGAAATGTACCACCTACCTAAACATTGTTGCTGACCAAGTACACCCCTTCATGGAAACGGTATTTTCTGATGGCAATGGCCTCTTTCAGCAGGATAAGGCACCCTAGAAAAATGGTTAATGAATGGTTTGAGGAACACAATGACGAGTCAGAGGTGTTGACTTGGCCTCCATATTCTCCAGATCCCAATCCAATCCAGCATCTGTGGAATGTGCTGGAAAAACAAGTCCGATCTTTAGAGGCCCCACCTCACAACTTACAGGACTTAAAGGATCTGCTACTGACAGCTTGGTGCCAGATACCACAGCAAACCTTCAGAGGTCTAGTGGAGTCTATGCCTCCATAGGTCAGGGCTGTTTTGGTCGCAAAAGGGGGACCTATTCAGTATTAAAGGAGAACTATGGGGTTGTCTTTTCCCCATAGTTCTCCTTAGGGTAACGGGAGGACACAAACTAGCGTCCTCCCGTCACCCTAGGCTCAGTATACCGCGAGCTGTAGCTCGCAGTATACTGAGACGCCGCAGTATACCGCGAGCTGCTGCTCGCGGTATACTGAGACACCGCAGCTGAAGCGGATCTCGACAATTGTGCCGGGATCCACCCTGCTGCGTGACTGACAGCTGGCTCTGCCTATCTAGAGACAGAGCCAGCTGTACCCGCCCCCTCCCCCGTCCGATCCACCAGCCAGCGCTGGCGGATCGGAGCGGGGAATCCAGCCCCTCCCCTGTCATGGCAGAGAGCCGTGACAGGATCGAGAGGTGAGCGAACGCCGTTATGTGTTCGCTCACCTCCCGATCTACTGAGCCGACCTGTGACAGTCTCATTGTCACAGGTCGGCTAGAACTATGAAACTGTGAAAAGCACTCACCTCATAGTTCTCCTTTAAGCAGGTGGTCATAATGTTATGGCTGATCGGTGTATAGTCAAATGTCATCTTGTGTGTAATAATGGCCACTAGATGGACCTGAGGAGCACAGAAAATAAGTATTAGTATTTATTTCCTATGTTCCTTTGCACCATCTAGTGGCCATAATGTTGTATTAAAAGTTGACATTTAAAAATACATAAAGAAAATATATCAAGAACGTTAATTTTGTGTATCCATTAGCACAGAGCAAATATTCACATAAATTTGCAGGACCAGTAGTTCTGTGACTTGTTTAGAAATAGACCCCTAGGAGTATTAAGTATAAGCTGGCTGAGGAATAAAATACACAAAGGCTGATTCATACGGGCAAACAAAATTGTATTTGGTTAGTTTCTTCTTAGGCTGGATAACGAAAATCTAAAACCTGATTGGCCACTGAGGTAAACTGAGGTAAACTCACATTTTCCAATCAGCCCCATATTTTCAGAAATAGTTCTTTTTCTGACACTTGAAGCTGAATGGAGACATAGATTCAACTAAAGATAGCTCAACTGTATAAGAAGAATAAAAAATGGTTTCATACCGTATATGGAGCTGTGTGTATCGGGGTTCACCTGAAGCTTTTTGTATAGCCGTCGCTAACGTTTTCCATCCATCTTGTGGATCAAGAAAATCCGCCAGCTTTCTAAATAGCCCTGGGCCCAGGTTACGGACATAAGTGGACGATGTTACGGTGTTATTCATTTTCAGGTTCTGTAATAAAAAAATTATTTGGGTCACTTTGCCCTCCAAGGTGTATACTGCCAGCCTTCCAGTGCGGGTCATGGGGTAGAGTCTTCTGCATCATAAAAAAAGGCCCTTTTGGTGTAACTCTAAAAAGAGAAAATAAAACACAGCCACCACATGTAAGGATTGGGGTTCAAACACACAAATACCTGAGCAAGGCCAGTAGAGCCCCACTTCCTCCTCTAATTCTTAGGACTGTCAGAAGCCTCCAACGTGAGATATTTAACCATGTCAGGACCACCAGATGTACATATACGTCCTCATCCTGAAGTGGTTGTACCAAGATCATGGCTGCGGCTGCTATTGTTCTGGTGTTGTCTTTTTCAGCAGGCAATGTTTGTTGACTACAAGTGATCTGGGTGGCTCTCTCTTTCCATGTGCAGGGTGGCTGGTCTTATACCAGCCCCCTCCTGTAGTTTGCTGCAGGTAGGTGTGGCCTGTTGGGTCTTTCCTACAGCTCTGGTGTTCTCTGCACAGGCTAGGTACTGCAAAGTGATAATGTCACTGCTACTTTTACTAGGTAATAAGGGAGTTTGTAAAGGCATTTGGCGCACACAAAGTGGATTTATAGCCAGAGGCGTAACTAGAACCTACAGGGCCCCGGTGCAAGAAACCATGAAGGGCCCCAACCCCCCGCCGCCATGGCACTGTGTGGTTAACAGGACGGCTGCTGAGGTCCCCAGCAAACACGGGACCTCAGGCAGCCGCTTTAGTTAAAAAATTTAGTGTTCTGGACTGCAATACTGGTGGTGTGCTGGTGACATTTATTCATCTTTATGGTGTTCTGTCGAGAGCGCCGACCCAGTATCTGCGCTTACGTACCGACGGGATTAATGAGGAAACCAGCGTTTATTTACGAAGTATTAGTTTGTAATGGTTAATTGTGAACGGTAATATTATGCCATCCATGGCAGTAAATGATGGATGGCATATTATTAACAGTCACAATGAACAATTTAACCGAAATACTTTGTGAATAAATCCGGGTTCCCTCAATAATACTGGGCTGTGCGCAAGCGCAGATGCTGAGGGCGGCAAATTCGACTACGTCAGCGTTCTCAACAGAACACCGGTATCTGCGTTTAGTATCGGGGCATTTTCATGAGTATGAGTACACGAGAAAATGCCCAGTATTGGCACTGCTGTATTTCTACTTAAAAATATAATGCATTGCTGGGACTTGTAGTCCTACATAGTTGGTGCTATTCTGCATTGCTGTATAATCATCATACACCAATGCAGAATACCAGCAGCTATGCGGGACTACAAGTCCCAGCAATACATTATAATTAAAAAAACGGCACTGCAGAATATCACCAGCACCCCCCCCCCTTCCCGGTCCATATACTCACTCAATATACTCACCTGCCTGGCTGCTAGACTGGTCCCCGCAACCTCTCTCCCACTTTGGCGGTCTAAGGATCCGTGAGTCATCTTGCTAAGTGTATTAGATGTTAGGACCTCAAAGGATTTTCCACCACTGGAGCGGAGAGCAGCCCCAGGGACTGGTCTAGCAGCCAGACAGGACTGAGGTTCAGGTGAGTATATCTTTTTTTGTTTTTCTCGCTAGACACAAATGAGCACTTAACCTTTGCAGTGTGGGGGTAGCCCAACTGTAAGGGTTAAGTTCTGCTTTAATTTTACAAGAGAAGTGTGACAGTAGCCCCTTACACAATACTTGTATTATGATTTGGTGTGACCAATCCCATAAAGGCCAAGCTGCCCATACCTGACAATGGACTTAGCCAGAGCAGGAACACACACACCTTGCCCCGGTATGTGGGGGAGATATACACTTCACTCACCAGCCCGATCACAGCAGCTCACACAACTTCCATCACACAGTTGATCACTACAAGGGAAACAGTTCCGCATCCTCTGTTTGATTACACCACACTGGAAACTCCGTACACCTCACTGCTAGCACTCTTTGTGTGCCGCATCACTCCCCATTTCCTCCCGTTCAACAAGTCCGAGTACATTCATTGTGTACCTTTAAGAGGGCGTTTCTGACTGCTGGCTGTGGCGCCGGTGATTGGTTGGTGTAGGTGGAGCTGGGCGTGGTCTCTAAGCAGGAAGCTGCAGATGCTTAGAGGCTCCGTACAGTGAGGTTAGCCATGTGTATGGGAGGGTGTACGGTGTGGGAGCAATGTGCGGGGACTGATCTATATATGTATATATACAGAGGGGGATCTGGGGGTCACCGCAGTGCACAGAGCTTTATACTCAGGACTGTTTGTATGGGTGAATAGGGTAGCACAGGTCCTACACCAATGCATGGTCTCAGGGCTGGCAGCTGGTCCTAAGCACAAGGAGGGCATTGCGAGATTTAAAGGTTGGCCTCTCAGGCACTAAGGTACTGAATGGTGTGTCACGTGGGAGAGACAGGGGCGTGTCTTCCCTGATAGTAGGGTATTGCTGCATGTTCTGCCAACAGTGCAGAGAAAGGGGCAGTGATCACAGCTGTGGGGTCTACTCTCTGGAGGAGAGAGAGCTTATTTAAAGACCAAGTTTACTTTTCTGACCATATTTTATGTTACACCCATATTCAGAGTGTAACAGGACACATGGTCACATCACTCCCCCTGCTGCCCTTCCACTTACATGAATCGCAGAGGGTGTTTTTTTTTCCCCTCCATGGCTCCACCCACACAGCTGCATCATCCATTCACAGATGATTTGGAAGGATGTGTGAATAGAAAAACTACAAATCCCATCAGCCACCGCAGCAGAGGGACTTTCTCAATGGAATAGAAGTGCAGTGATGCCACCACACTTGTAGTCCATTTATTCTTCCTCCTGTCCCTGTTACTGAATGTCCATACCAAGGTAGACATGGGGTTGATCTATAAAACATCTGCCCAGCCATATGCAGTGCGAATGTCATTAAAAGAGAGCTGTGGGGTAAGCGTTTTTCCCATAGTTCTCTTTAGGGTGACGGGAGGACATATACTAGTGTCCTCCCGTGACCCAAAGCCCAGTATATAGCACTATATAGCCCTCCCCCATTCCTTCCTCCACTCAGCGCTAGAGGGGAGGGTGGGATCCCTGCAGGGAGCAGTGACTGACAGTCAACGTTCACTGGAGGGAGAAGTGGGTGGATCGGCTGCATGTTTCTGCTCACTTCACAATCAATAGAGCCTCCCCTGTCACGGCTCTCTGCCACCACAGGATCGAGAAGTGAGCAAGCGCCGGTATGTGTTCGCTCACTTCTCAATCTACTGAGCCGACCTGTGACAGATTCTTTGTCACAGGTCAGGTCGAACTATGAGGATGAAGGGAAATAACTTGCCTCATTATTTTCCTTTAATTCCTGCCATTAGATAGAGCTGAGGAGCATACACAATTCCTATGGTCTTTGGCTCCATCTAGTGGCAGGAAATAGAGAAAATGACTTGAAATGATATGAAAATTGTTAATATTTATGTGAGGTTTTTTTCTGATTGAGTTTATACATAGTTTACAGAGAAACTTCCTACCCCCCATGCTTTTTTTCTATTCCCCTTACATCTTTTACAGGGTTTTCTTAAGAAAAACGTACTCTAAAATCCAGCATTGTGCTGCTGCAATCCTATTGGTCTGCTGCTCTATGTTGGATCTTGCACCACCATCTTTCCTTCCTACAGAGCTGGCACTCTCTTCTGGGTTCTTGCAGCTGGCTCCCAATGGCACGCCACCAGGTCGGCCCTCCAGCTACTTGTTGTCGCAGATCCTGCTGCCTCCTAGGATACATTCTGGGGATATCCTAGGAAGCTAGAAAAGCAGGAACATCATTCTTGCCTAGGCAGGAAAGGAGACTGGGGGGGGGGGCTGCAGTAAAAAAAAAAGTGTGCAGAGTAGAGGAAAGAGTAATCTTTTGGTCCACTTTAAGCATAATTTTACTAAGGACTAAATCACCTCTGTTATCTTTAGTGAGGAAACAAATTCCACATTTTGCGATAAGTATTTTACAGAAGTACTTTACAGCAAATCTTGCACCCCAATAAAAAAACACTTACCAAAAGCTAAAAACACCCAAAGCATTAGAAGAATAAGGGTGTACATGTCTGTATGGCGTGCACACCATACGCCGATTGGGTCTTTTTACAGGCGTGCATGACGTACAGTCGTGTACGCCTGTCTGAATGAGCCCTAAAGGAGAAAATACTTTGGATACTTTGGATCCCAGTTTCCGGCCACTTCCTGTGAAGTAGCACATTCTTGCAGGATTGGAGTACTCTGCTTTCACAGTAGGCGCCATTGAGAATCAGTGATGCCATCATAACCTACAGGAAGTGGCCTGGAAGCTGAGGTCAGAGGTAGGTATTTTTTATTTGAATAATGTAGGTGGTTTTATCTTTTACCTAGTGTATTATTTTCAGCAATGGGACTTACTGATATGCTTTAAAGTGGAACTTCACTCAGCACAGGGGAAAATATAAGCAGCTACAAATACTGTAGAAGATGACTTAAAAAAAAAAAAAAAATCTACTTACTAGCCCATGGGGTCCAGAGATGTCTTCTTACATCCCAAAATCTCAGGTTTTGCTTCTCCCGCAACGCCATCTTGGATTTGGGAGCCGGTTAAGTGATCAGGAAGTGACAGATGGCTCTCAAATGAAAGATGGCTGCTGAAGCGCACGTTCACGGTTTGGTGGACTGCCATCTTGGATTTGGGAACCGGCTGGGTGATCAGGCATGGGCAGCCAGCTTTCAATTAAAAGTTGGCTGCTGATGTTTCACGTGTGCAGGCCGGGAGAGTGTCCAAAATCCTCCTGGGATACATGTCACCTCAGTGGGCCAAGTGTACATTATCCTTGTCTGGGTGAGCAATAAGGAAGTAACCTCCCCCCTTTCCAAAACAAAAACTTGCAAATACGTACCAGGAAGGGGGGTGAATTAATGTGTCCATACACTTGTTCAAATTTCGGCTGGTTTTTATCGTACCGGCCGAAACTCGCACAGTGTGCGGGGCTGTCGGCTCCCTTTCAGCCTGCATTCCGCGATCAGCTGATCGAAGGAGCCGGCTGGAAAATGTTCGATCGATCAGAGGCGACACCCAAAGAGCTGCCTGTTCTGATCGGGTATTCTGACAGGTGCCGGCAGCACCTGTCAGAATACAATGTAAACAGCGGGATATATCCATTCGACACGCTGTTTGTTTTGATGGAGGTCAGGTCAATTTTTTTCGTTCCGCCCACTTGTTGAAGGAAAAAAAATTATGGGTGTATGGCCAGCTTTAGAATGATGCCAAGTTTTTAAAGAAGAAAATGGCTTGTAAAAATAGAATGATTACGGAGACATAAATCAGTCAGGAGAGCATGACATAACCACATATCATAAATGCTACTTCGACATATAAATCAATTATAATTTTCTCTATAAATAACATAAGTAGAAAAAACAACAGGAGCCACATACCTCCACTCTCCAACCCCCAACACCTGCAGGTGCCTATACCTACTAAATAGGATTCGTACAGGTGTAACCCTTAATAGTGCAATACGCATATCACCCGAAAAAGGGCACTTTGTGGCAAAAGGTCCGCGAAATAAAGATGAGGAAAGAGATGCCAAGTTTTATAGTTGAGTAAAGGGCAACCTTAAGCAAAAAGAAAAGGTGTTGACCTAAACAACCAGGTACATTTTAACACAGTTCTAGTATAAGTTAGAGGCAATCACTTGACTACTGGCTAGTGGCCATGCAGTTGCTGGTCCTGTCTTTAGTATCTGCAGTCTACTCATGTATACACCAGATTCATATTTATTTTACATTGTTTGATATATTTGTGTGAACAGTCTGCTCTGTTTTTTTAGGTTATGCGTCTGTAAAATGGAAGGCCGATTCCAAGATACATTCCTTGATTCTCTTTGTTATGTTAGTGAACATGTTGGTTTTTATGGAGCCATCAAACATTCTCCAGCTGACTTTGTTGTCACAGAGATTCATGTCACTGGTCATCTAGTTACAGTGGATCACACTCAAGAACCTGAAGACAAACTGACAGATAATGATAATGAACCTCAGTATAAAAAACAGAAGGCTGACCTAGAAGATGTTGAAGGTAAAACCATACCAGGACAGGCTGAATGTAAAGGTGAATATGAACCAGTGAGGGAGAATGTGGATGATGCCTCTGAGGCCCTTGCTGCTTCGGACTGTGAAGCAGGATTATACAATTTACTTAATCTTGTGCTGAGTATAGATGTGCAAAAAGCTTTACTCAACTTTGCCAACTCAGTAAAATCTGCTTTTGAATCCCAAGTGGAAAGATGTGAGTTATGTGAACTATCCTTGGGCTTCTTTTCCAATAAAGATGACAGAGCCATCGTTCACAGTGCTGTGCGACAGACATTCCCAGTCCTGGTAACATTCACCAAAAACTCAGAGCTCCTAGTTAAACCAAACCTGGATTACCAAGAGCTTTCCCGGCTCACGTCCGAAGAGGAAGCAGGCAAATTCTTTACATTTTTAGATGCAAAAGTCCAAAACTCTACATTTACATTTCAACCAGATGTGAGTAAAGAACACAGGACATCTGTGCATCATTTCATCAGCAGGAAATTCGGGAAGCTAGTAGAAACCAAATCTTTTTCCGAGAAAGGTATTGATGGAGTGCAGAGAGTCTCCATAACTGTGAGGTTCAGAGAGAAAAAGAGCTCCTCCGGGAAGAGGCAGAGAACAGAAGAACAGTCTGAAATATTTACAGGTAGGAATGAATCTGTTCCTGTCACTTCACACAGGAAGTTTTGGTAGCTGGGTACAATTACAGCGTGAGAATGTCTCTCTCATTCTGCATGTGTTGTCCATAAATTGATGTCCTTTATATGGAAGTCCAAAGAAGATCAAATGCACCTCTAATGTACAATCCAGCACTGTTTGACTAAGAATTTAGAACTTTATACACGTGTGGATTTTCTGTCCAAGTACCCCCAAATATTGACTGTGCAATGTATGCCTCTTTGGGGGCACATACTGGTGTGAGTAGTTCAGTTTTCTCTGTAAGCACTGTGGAATATGCTTTGTGATATAATTCACTGATATATATTATCTAGAGGAGAGAATTACATTACAGGATGGAGGTTCAGTTACTTTTACTCTATACCTTTCATAAAGAGAAACAAAGTGCCAAAGTACAAAATCTAATTTCACTAACTAGTCCATTGTAAAAGACATTAAAGGCAACATATACAAAGTTGTTTCTTTTGCAAACATGATTAGACTGTTACCTGCCAGAATCTGGTCTTTTTCATAGTAAAGTCCTCAGTGTTCCAATCTCCAAATATATGATGCAAAAATAAGAGACAATGATAATAAAGCCAAATATAATAAAACCCTGAATCAGATTCACAGTTCAATCCCAGAAGATTGCAAATAGCCTCAAATCTCACTCAATTTGTATAGCAATGGAGATGGAAACACTATACCCCTCTCACCAGATTGTTGAAAGGGTGAATGCCAATCAAACGGAATCTTTCATCCTTTGATCTATGTTGTAAGCTAAGATAGATAGCACAGGAAAGAGCTGTCAAGCTCCTGTGAGTAGGAGACCCTGGTTCATTACAAGAGGTAACTTCAGCCTAAAGTGTTATTATACCCAATTTATTACATTTGTATTCAGATATCTATACACTTACATTTTCCCTTGCTTCCTGATTCATTTTGGTGACTGTCTTAGCATTCCTGTAATTTATATGTTATTATTTCCCTCCCCCCCCCCCCCTTCTTAACCTTTGTTATCCACTGTCCATGGAGCCACTGCAGCATGTGCTCGCCCCACCTAGGACTACAGGGATACGTGTGGAAACCTAGGATCCCCCCACCCAGTTGCCTTATAGTACCACTGTCAGGTATGGGGAAAGCCTATATTTTAACTAGGGATGCACCCACATTTCAGCCCCCGAAAATTGCACTTTAGGCAAAATTCCGAAAGTTTCAACTTTCGGCTGAAATTTCAGTGCATCCATGATTTCTCTCCTCCCCGCTGTGGGCTGCTCTGTGTCCCCCCTAACACAGAGCAGCACCGAGTGGGGAGGAGTGAAACTGTCAGGAGGCCGAGCAGGTTGGGAGGAGAACGCTGTGAGCATGTCACAGAAGGCTGAGCGGGGTGGTGCGGCAGATCAGAATGGAGAGCAGTGTGGGGGAGGAGACAGCTGTGACAGGAGGCCAAGGAGTCGCTGACTGTTTGTAAATAGTTGAGGACAATGTCTATCTACTGTGTCCCTAATTATGAATGAACAGGAAGTGCTTTACATCACTTCCGGTTCATTCATGATTGTGGACATAACAAACATACTATATCCACAGGTTATGAATGGACAGGGGCACTCAGTATAGAGGCTTCCTGTTCATTCCTAACAGGGGCTGCAGAAAAAGAGATTGAGGACTCTGTGTCCCCAATCTCTTTTTCTATTTTAAAAGAGTAATATCAGGGGTCTGCTTTAGACGCCTGATATTTCCCTAAAGCCAATGACAGTAAAGTTAAAAAATAAAAATATTTAATACAAAAATAAAATATTTAGAAAAATGTAAAAAGGTTAGTAAAAAAATAGTTTTGGTTTTGGCCTGACAAAATTTGTATTTTTGGTTTTGGTCAGAAAATGTAACTTCGGTACACCTCTAATTTTAACAACTGGTTGTGGTTTCTTTTAGTGAAACTGGGTTTATTAAGGTTAGAAAAACAGTGACATAAAGGCAACTTAATGAACATGTTGTTTAAATAAATCCAAGGCCCTTATAAAAATGTGGCAAATAATTTTCTCAGAAGGATTGTACAAATGACTAAGAAGATCTTACTATTAGTTTAGGAACAGGTTATTTTCAGTAAAAGAAATAAAGTATAATTTTCTTACATTTAAATATTTCCAAATTGGAAGTTATTTAGGATGTATGGTTTTGCCTTCCTCACGGCCAAAACTGTGATTTTGTTTCAAAACAAATAACTGTAACTTGATTTTGTTTTCTGGCATTTAGTCTTCAGAAAGGATGTAACTGTGTTGTGTTGTTGCAGCATTTACCCTAGAGAAGGAGAACCTGGAAACACTAGAGGCTATCAGCTACCTGTCATCTGTGCTTGGTGTGCTCCCATCAGACTTCAGTTATGCTGGAATTAAAGATAAGAAAGCCATTACTTATCAGTCTATGGTTGTCAAGAAAGTGACTCCAGAGAGGTGAGTTTTCTTCTTCTCAGCTTGTTGTACTATACCTAAAAACATACATTCAAGAAAATAAGAAAATTCAATTGTTAAAGGCAAGTCTCAGTGTACGAATACATGATATATAGTGAATAACTACAGTTTGATAATTGTTCTTTGGGACATTTAGACATCACATGATCCTTTATATACCAAACACATACATTTACACTTTTAGTGTATCCTATCTATAGTGTTTGGTTATTTTGAGCCTTTTGCATTGTGTTAACTTGGGTTAAAACCTGCATTCTAACATGTAAATAAAAGCCATGGTAGCACTTAGGGGCGTATTTGTGCAGCGAAATTGCATGTAAGTTTGTTCTGTGTGAATGAAGTAAAAAAACAAATGTTCTCAGCATGGTGGCCACTAGATGAAGCTGGGGAGCAGAAAGTAAACAATACTGAGCTTCAGACAAAAGGTATGAAGAACAGTTCATGTTGCCCACAGAAAAAATAATGGATTCTTTGGAGATATACATTTTTTTTATATAATCTTTATTTTACTGTTTTCAAACAAAATTATTGGTACAAAGGAACAGTTTAGGATCAGAAAAGGGTCCAACATTTACCCTGACATAGAAATTAAAAGGTTACAAAAAATACGATTCGATACGTAGTGCAACCATGTTGCCCATTTGGAATAGAAGCGGTCATGTTTGTTCCCACTCTTCGACACCCACTCCTCTGCCTCCTGTATTAGTGTGACCTGTGCCACCCACTCAGACCTCCCCGGCACCCGAGTCTGTTTCCAGTACCTAGGGATGAGTCTCCTTGCCGCGTCTAGAAGGTGTGGCATAACACCCTTCTTATAGGAGCCAACTGATGTGGAAGGGAGGTGGAACAGCATATGTATGGGGTCATCTGGTATGTCTGTCGTTGTGATAAGTTTAATTTGTGCACGAATATCTTGCCAAAAGCCTCGTATAAGAGGGCATTCCCACCATATATGTAAGAGTCCCCCTTGTTGCCCGCAGCCCCTCCAGCAGTGCGAGGATGTCCCCGGGTATATGGTGCTCAGGTAAAGCGGTGTGCGATACCAACGGGACAGTAGTTTATAATTGGTTTCGTGTACCTTGGAGTCAACCGAGGATTTATGTGTGAAGCGGTATATCAATTGCCATTGATCATCAGAGAGACTCCGTCCTAACTCCCTTTCCCAGTCCCCTAGGAACCTTGGTCTGTCCTCTGTGAGTGTGGACATGAGCAAGCCATAAAAGAGTGATATCAGTCGGTCTGGGGATGAAGATCCCGCACATAGGGACTCGAAGGGCGTGAGAGAGGACATGGGCCTCATTCCCTTGGCAGTTGTTCCAAAGAAATGTGTAAGTTGCCTATACCTCCAATCCGCCATGGGGAAGTCTCCATATTTAGTTTTAATCTCCTCCAGGGTCATCAGGGAGCTCCGGCTGAGGAGTTTGTGGCAGCGGAAGTCTCCTTGCAGGTCCCAGCGGTGGAAGAAGGAAATGTCTTCCCCAGGAGGGAACCACGGATAGCCCCCTAGTGGGGACAGCGGGGGTGAGAGGAGACCTCCTGCATTCAGTTTGTCCCACAACCGGAGTGTCTGATGTGTCAGAGGGGACGTATAGTCGGAGAGGCCACGGCTAGCACTAGGCACCCAGGGGGCATGAGCTAAATCTCGACCCGCCATGCATTTTTCCATCTGCACCCATAGTTTGGCTGAGGCGTCAAAGTGCCAATTCACAATCCTCTGGAGGGAGACAGCTTTATAGTAAAGGTTAATGTCAGGTAGTCCCAATCCCCCTGCCCCCTTAGGCCTGCGCAGAATGGTATGCGCTATTCGGGGTCTCTTGTCCCCCCAAACAAAGCGGATAAACAGACTGCAGAGTTTTACAAAGTATGTATGAGGCAGAAAAATAGGTAACATCTGCAAGAAGAAGAGGACCCGAGGGAGCACTGTCATCTTCAGTATGTTAATGTGACCCAGCCATGTGAATGATGTGCGATCCCAGTCCTTGAGATCTCTCTGGAGGTTATGTAGTAAGGGTTCAAAGTTGTGCACGTAAAGGCGGGAGCAGTGGTTGGTTAGTTGAATACCCAGATATCTTATGGCTGTTGTGGACCAGGAGAACGGGAAGCTGTGTCTCAACTGGTGGGCCATTGCCGACGGGACCGTAATGGGCAGAATTTCAGACTTATGGTAGGTAATTTTGAGGTTAGATAGCTGTCCATAGTTGGTAAACTCTGAGATCAGATTAGGGAGTGAGGTGACGGGGTCTTTGACAAAAAAAAGGATATCGTCCGCATAAGCAGATAGTTTATGTTCCTGCGAGCCAATCTTCAAACCTTTAATGTCAGGGTTGTTGCGAACCTTATTTAGGAAGGGTTCTAGGGCGAGCGCGAACAGGAGCGGGGATAGGGGGCATCCCTGCCTGGTGCCATTACCAATTCTAAATGGGCTGGAGAGGGTGCCATTTACCTTCACGCGGGTCGACGGATCACTATAGAGAGAGGCCACCCAGCTCAGCATGTGAGGGCCTAGCCCCAGGGTCTCCAGCACCGTCCTAAGGAACGTCCAATCCACCCTGTCGAACGCTTTTTCAGCGTCTGTGGGCAACAGGAGGATGAGAGGCGTGGTGTGTGGCCCAGTGAACCGCCTGGATTGCCCGAAGTCTCTAGTCTCCCTCCCCATTATGAAACCTGTCTGGTCAGGGTGAATAACAGCGGGCAAAAAGACCTTCAGGTGGTCGGCCAGTATCTTGGAGAGGAACTTCAAATGTGCATTAAGGAGCGATATGGGCCTATAACTTTGAGGGGCAGAGGGGTCCTTGCCCTCTTTCGGGAGGACCGTGATGTGAGCCAGCAAAGCCTCCGAGGGTGCTGACGCTCCTTTGGCCAAGGCATCGTAATATGAACATAAGTGCGGGGAGAGCTGTGTCAGGTATTTCATATAGTAGGCTTTGGTGAAGCCATCCGGGCCCGGGTTCTTCCCATTTGGTGTCGCTTTGATGACCGCCTCTACCTCCTCTGGGGCGATAGGCCTATCTAGGTCGGCCGTGATTGAGGCGGGAAGGGTCTTAACTCCCGCTTCGTTTAGGTAGTTGTGGATAAGAGTTTTTTTGGCGGACAGTGCATCAGGGGGCATATTAGGGTGTAGGTTGTATAGTGTGGCGTAGTAGTCCCTAAAGGCTTCAGCTATCTTGAAAGAGTTATATACTGGGGACCCAGAGGGGGTTTGTAGTTTATGGACATGTGTCAACTCACGCCTCTTCCTCAACGCCCTGGCCAGCAAACGCCCACACTTATTCCCATGCTCATAATACAGGTGAGAAACATAACATAATTTCTTCTTTATTTGGAGGTCTAAGAAGTCCGTCAGATTTTTACGTAAGGTGACCAAATCCCGTGCATCTTGGGGGAGACCTGAGCGCTTATGGCGTTGCTCTGCTCCCCGGATTGAAGCTATCAAGCTGTCTAGCTCAGCTACCCTAGCCTTTTTCAGTCTCGAACCCTGTGATATCAGCACTCCACGGACCACCGCCTTGTGCTCTTCCCACACAGAGCCCACTGATGTCTCACCGACTGTGTTCTCAAGGAAGTAAAGGCGTAGCGCTTCAGATGTCACTCCCGCCGCCACTGGATCGTCTAGCAGGTTCTCTTTAAGGCGCCAGGTCCATGAAGTGCTGGGAACCCTGGGCAACGAAATCGAGACAGAGGCGTGGTCTGAGATAGTAATGGCGTTAATGGTTGCCTCACATAAGGCGTCAAGGTAATATTGATCCATAAACAGCAGATCAATCCGGGATTATGAGTCATGAGTCTTTGAATAGTAGCTGTAGTCCTTATCTGATGCATGCGTCACCCTCCAAGTGTCCAGTAAGTGTTTATCGTAGAAGGCCTTACGGAAATGTCTCATCGCTGTGAGAGAATGTGCGGACGTGCCCCAGGACGTGTCAAGCACTGGGTTGGGGCTAAAATTGAAGTCCCCCGCCCAGCACAAGCAGGCCCTCCTGGAAATCAGTCAGTTTGGACAGCATAGAGTCTAGAAATGTGAGCTGATGGGTGTTGGGGGCATATGCCGTGGCAAAGGTAAATATATGGCCCTCAATGGATTCCTTTAAAAATAAAAAACGGCCATTAAACTAGAAAGTGGGGGGGAGGGTATAAAAATAAAATTACTTAAACTAAACGTTGATAATTTAATCGTAAATGAGAACATTTCACAGTGAAACCAACTAGTAGTGTATCCCTAGTCCGAGGGGTCAACAAACCGGAGACCCCCAGGAGTGGACACAAAAGGTCCCGTCCGGGACATGTCTCCCTTAAGGGGGACAATCCTATGTGGGCAACGTGAAAGGGCATAACAGGGGAGGGTGCAGCCCGTCCCGGCCAACTTAGAGTGGCGCGTTACTCCTGAGGAGGTAAGCCATTAGAAAATAAACATCCTGAGAGGAAAACCGTACTGGAATCTTTGCAAGGGTTCAGCGAAGAGCAGAGTAGAAGAAGCCATGTTGAGTTCAACCGTGGCTGTTGAGTATCACACACCCGCAGGGGTTCTTCACGTGTGGGTGTCATAGAAGGTGGGTCAAGTCATTATACCCCGGGGCGTGCATATCGATGTGTAAAAACATGGCCAATCTCCGTCTGCTGACAAACAGAACAGTCATTGCGGCTATGGTGGGCCCCCTTGGCTTGGAGAAGGTGGGTCTTGGCTTCCAGGCTGCCTAGGGGGGACAGTCTGCCAGGGGGGTTGGTGAGATGGTAGCGGTATTGTGGGGGACACATTCCTGTCCGGCAGCGAGATCTTAGGGAGGCCCAGAGCTTTCAAAAAGCCAGGGAGATCGCCCATTTCCATGAGGGATATCGTTTTGCCTTCCTTGCGGACCATCAGGTGGAATGGGAAGCCCCAGCGGTATGGAAGCTGTGCCTTGCGAAGGGAATCCAGCAGAGGGGCCTATCCCTCATTATGGACATAACAGCTTCCTTCACACTGTATTTGTGGAGCTTGCAAATCACATCCCTAGGTCGTTCCATGTCAGGGGAGGGCGGTCCGAGGGAGCGGTGTGCTCTATCTATCTCCACCGGGTCTCCAGGGCCTAGGCTCAATATACCCCTAAAGATACCTTGTAGTGTGGGAACAATGTCTTTGGATCCTGTTGCTTCAGGGAGCCCCCTGATTCATATGTTGGACCTGCGACTGCGATTTTCCAAGTCATCCAATTGATTCAGCAGGGCAGCAATTTGCCTGTCATGTGTGGTGCTACGATCCCTAAGAAGGGACATGGCCACTAGTGAATCATCCTGCAGTGCTTCCAGGGATTCCACCCTGTTTCCCAAGTGTGCAGTTTCCTGCCTTATGTCTGCTATGTCCTTTTTTGAAGGCCTGCTCCATCCTAGTCATGAATATATCTAGGTCGGCCTTAGTGGGGAGAGACCAGATATGTGTCCTGAGGTCTCCATCCCCTACAATCCTGTCTGCGGCAGGGCTTTGTGGCCGGTGCAGTCTCGGGGAGCTCCCCACTGTACTGTCGCTTACCCCAGCTGGGGATGAGGGCCCAGCTAGATCTCCACAGTCCTGCCGCTCTGCGGCCTCGTGGTCCGGCGCCATCTTGGATGCGGCCCTGTCTTCACTGCCGCGATCTGAGAAGAAGGCGTCTATGGCGCCCTTCCGAGTTCTCGGCGTCCGTGGGAGCTGGGGTGAGTATTTCTTCTTCCCCTGTTTAGGTTGGGATCCTCTCCATTGCATATCGGCTCGGATGTCGGCAGATGATTTGGCGGCCGGGACGGGAGCTCTCTCATGCACGTCCTCACTCCTTCATGCCCAAGCCACCCTTTGGAGATATAAATTAAGAAAATGGTTGCTACGGGCAACAAAACTACTTATCCTTTAATGCATTAAGCCTAAATGCTAGTATAAAAATCCTTATAGAAAATGCTTTTGGCCTTTTTTCTGTGTTTTGAAAGAGAAATGGCTGCAAACAGGTTCTTATTAGTTGAATAGCTCCCTATGTCCATGAATTGGCAGCCTGGTGTGTTTCATTAATGTAGGTTGCATTGAGGAAGCACATGCAAAAAAAAGAAAACCATACAAAAAATTGGACATGCACCATATTTTGCCAGGCAGCACAGCACAATGCACAGTGGTGTGTTATCATGAGTTGTGGTGTGCTACAATGCATGTGTGTTCCCTTAGTGCACAGGGATGCCCTTTAGAATGAATGGCACGCAACATGCTGCTGACTCCATAAAAAAGTACTTGTTCACAGAAAAAAATGTTGCTTCTTCCAAATTATATTGTTAGTGTTAGGAGTAATGCATTGTAGTGCTCTTTAAATTAATGTTGTTTATAAAGCGTCTTGATTTTCCATATATATTGTTATTTTAAAGTGTATGTTCAGCCAATACATTTTTCTCAGTTTTAATTGAGGTGGCCATACACTGTGCAAATTTCACACTGTCGGCACCCTTTCAGCCAGCATTCCTCAATCAGCTGATCAACTGATCCGGTCGGAAAATCTTTGAATGAACAGAGCGGGCAGCCAATGAGCTGCCAGGTCTGTTGAGGTATTCTGGCAGCGGCAGGCGGACACTGTCATAATACATTGAAGACAGCAGGAGATTCCACGATCAATGCTCATGCCGCGTTGATGGAGGAAACTGTTATATGTTCTTCGTTCAGCCCGCGGTTTGAATGAAGAATGAAGAAAATATTACAGTGTATGGTCAGCTTTAGAGTAGGGGAATATTAATCTGTTTTATCTTCGATTCCTGTTCTGCTGACAACATTTTACCAAAGAGGAAATGAGGGAAATCTCCCACAGCAGCACCGACAGAAGTAAAAATGCTTTTCTTTACAGTGGTAAAGTATGTGAAGGCTACAACCACTAATTTGTATTTCTATCTCTGCCGCTCTTGTAGATTTTCCCTCACTTACTGTTTGCTGAAACCTTGTCAGCCCTGGAGAGCAGTAAAAGCCTGACAGGAGGTGGAATCCATACCACTCTTTCCAAAGCTAAAAAATAAAAAAAGTTTTTTTTTTGCCCTGACATACACTTTTGTTCTAAATAAATAACAATAATGTGCGATTCCATTATGTTTTTTACCTTTTTGTTTTTTTTTGTTTTTTTTAGAATGCAGAAAATTGAAAGCTCCCTTGGAAAAAGAGGTATAAAAATACAAAATGTACGTCCTGCAAAGTGTCATATACATCTTGGACAGCTTTCTGGTAACCATTTCACACTAATTGTGAGAAATATTAGAAATCACAGTGGTGACCCTTCGGAGAATTTGCATCACAGAATTGAAGAAGCAGTGCACAGTGTCAAGGTATGAGTTTAACAAAACAGAGCAGCCTAAATATAAGCCTACAGGCCAGATTAGGCCCACCAAAGTTTGTGGATAAAAAGAATAGCTTTGTATGTATTTGCATATACTGAACCCATAGTAAAAAACAATAATGAATTCATCTTTATATCTGTAAGTATTGTGGAGAAATTAATTTTCAAATTTCACAACACAAGCACTGTGTTTTTCTATGAGAACAGAATCTTGGCAGGCTACCAGCCCTCTAATGTAAACAACCAGAAGGTGTTTTTAAGCTGTTGGAAAGCACGCAAAACCATCTCTGGACCCTTTGTGATCTTTGTGAATGAATAAATTTACATTAAAAGCAGCTATAAAGGTTGGGGATGGCTTGTTTTAAAGTTTCTTTACTGCTTGTTAAGAATGTGTAACTAGTTTAATGTTCATAGTCTGGCTCAGGTTAACTTTAAAGCCCAGTTTTAAACTGGGCTTTAATATTTACAAGTATTATGAGTTTTTCATAACTATACATATAGAGCTCTCTATTGGGAGTATGGTGACAATTGCTGGTCAGTTATATGCAGTATGTAATATTTGCATGTTGTTGTCAGAGCATAGACTTTTGTTTTGTTCAGTCTTTATGTACTACATGTGTTAGAGCCCTGTTAGTTTGTAAATATAGTTTTTATAGAGCCACACCCATTGAATGCAATGACTAGTGTATCCATTGAGTACAAGGGATTTTGATGTTTTCCTATCCACATCCATTGTGCTCACCATTTCCTATCCACCAGTGTACTATTTCAAGCAGCCTTAATGGTGGCTTTCTGGAGGTTCCCTCCAGCTGCGTTCAGAACAGGCAGAAGTTTGGGGGGCTCAGGCAATGTTTCAACATAAACTTTAAAGTGGCAGGCACTTTTTTGGAATTTTAAATAATATATTTATATTTGTGGACTGTGCAATATCAACAATGATACAGTTGATGCAATGTAATTCTAACTATTCAGGAAAGGATGAGCTTTTAAAAACCATGAATGATTTGAAAGTTAAAGCAGAAGTATAGACAGTTTTAAAATACCCTCAGTTCATTAAAAATAAATAGTTAAATTATATATAAATAGTTCCTCTGTCTTTATATTAACCAATAAAGTAGGATTGGGGGGGCTGCAATGTAGACCAATCGGTTTGTTACACATTATACCGTACGCGGAGAACTGACTGATAGAAGGGAAGAACACAGGACTGACCTCATCATTGTGCTGCTGCTCGTTCAGTATTCTTTTACAGACTAGTGTGGTCCTTTGCAAAACAGTATTAATCTGACTGAAGTAGAGGAAAGCAAGGTCAGAACCTGACTTTGTTGTCTGACAATGATGTCCGGATTAGAAAACTGGCTGAACAGTATTAAGCTGCCCATACACCTGACGATTATCGTACGATAATCGCTGGTGTTCCCGTGATCGTGCGATAATCATAAGGTGCATGGGCAGCGTGCGACCGCATTTACTGAACGGTCGCACGATTTTCATATTACGAGCACGCTAGAAAACCCACCGAAAATCATACGATTTTCAGCGGGTTGGTAGCGCGATCACAAGACGAAAGCCGCAAGGGCTGAGGTGCGCAAGCCCGCTCAGCATTGCAATCATCTGTAGGCCCTCCCCTCAGCAAGTACGATCTGCCTGTCCAAGATGGGCAGGTCGTACGAACTTTTAAGCACCTTACAACCATTGTACAACGAAAGTCGTGCGATGGTTGTAAGGTGTATGGCCACCTTTACACATATTTGGTAAGTAAGACAGTAGATGCGTAATAATTTCAGGTGTGAATTTAGTTGTTTGCACTTTCACTTTAAACTGGACAGATGGAAAGTAAAGGCATTCAGTTATATTTTCCTTTCATCTGAGCTTATCATTTCAGGAAAGAGGATTTCTAAACTATTATGGACCTCAAAGATTTGGAAAAGGGCAGAACATGCAATCACAGGAAGTTGGATTAACTTTGCTAAAAGAAGAAATGGTAAGCACACTCATTTATGGGAGTAATGGTAATCAGCATTTATGAGCATTACATATACCACTTTCTGTCTGTTACATTATTGTCTAGGCCAGGGGTGGGCAAACACCGCCCTTCAGCTGTGGGGAAACTACAAATCCCATGATGCATCTGTCTCTGGGAGTCATGCCTGTGGCTGTGAGAATCTTGCAATGCCTCATGGGATTTGTAGTTCCACAACAGCTGGAGGGTTGGAGTTTGCCCACCCCTGGTCTAGGGAGACCCGTAGTTATGGGTATTTCAGCATATCAAAGATGCATTGAAGAAAGTTTGCATAGTTATAGAACTGTTTAAATGAATAGTCTTATTGCACGAAAAGAGATGTGATCTTCCCTAAACATCTAGCATGTTGTCTTCATAAACCTTGGGCAGGAGTGTTTTTGGAATTACTACTCATTACAGCCTGAAATACTGGGAATCTATATGGTGGTGGAGCTTGGAACTGAAGCATGTAGTTCCAATGTCCAGTGTGTCTCACAGCAGCCAGCAGTGCTCAGCAATTAGGATACAAAAACTGGGATTGTTTTACTCCTGGAGATCCGTGCTCGTTCAGTTGCCCTTTTACAGTGGTCTGTCAACCATATCAGTAACCTCATAGCAGCATACAGGAAAAAACAGGGTAGACTGCCTTCATAGGGGAGGCAGTCTAAGGGTTCACAAAAGATCGGGACAGACTATATTTTGAAATTTATCAAGCAAAATACTTTATTTGGTGTATATCCAAACACCACTACAAAAATGAAAACACAAACGACATATAAATTAAAAACGAAATAATCACTGACTGTGAGTCCATTTCATTCTGGGTGGTGATTATTGACTCAAGTTGGTTTATGCACCTTTGAATCAAGACCTTAGGTTTACTCCCTCTTGGATGTCAGCAATACCTTCGAGAGGTGAATGATGGTAAAGTACAGGTTGGTTGTATCTATCTTTGGTTGGTATACTCTGTATCGAGTTATTCCTTTTGATTCATACTAGCCTGTATTTAACTTGTGACATTCATAGGATTATATTTGATAGATTGTAGCCCCACTAAGGGGGTTATTGAAGTGGATGGCAAGAGAAAGACAGTGTTCATACGTATCCAAACTATCAAGTATCCTTTCCTTATGTCCCTGGTCGCATTGATATTCTTTCACGAAGAGATAGCTCCAACAACTGCCCTTAAATCATATAACCATTGGTTTGTGAATTGTTCATGGAACTCGGTAGTAAAGATATATCTTATATATATATATATATTAGGTATTGGACGTGTTACTATTCCCGAGGTCGGGTTAAAGAGATTTCTTTCCCCCCTTTTTAGAAACAACGTATCAACAAGTGAAAAAAACAGAATGAAAACAAGATAATATATCCGTAGTTCCAACTCACATATCCTTTGGGGGGGATTTTCTCATTGGTTTTTCGTAGGTTTATTGATCCTATTTGTTGTAAAGTCCAGGAATACCTCGGCCGAGGATGTGTGTGGAGAGTAGAGAGTCCCCGATATATCTCCTAGATAGTCCAATGGTGGCAGGCACTTTGTTGTTGGTTAGAGATATATTTAGAATATCCAAATAGTAGGACTGTTGTGGGTTTCAAGGAAGTATTAAGGGTGTGGGTTTTTAAAGCATGGTGTCTGGTTTAGTTTGAGTCATTCACCAATTTCCCTATACATCTGTTCAGTAAGTTTGAAACAATACCCATTGAATCTGACAAAATCCTTGTCGGCTGATAATTTCATGTTATCTGTTCCAATGTTTCAGCTATCTTTGCGGACTACAGAACGCCTCTCCTCTATGTTATGGAGAAGAGGTGAGGGGGAGATGTTTTTAGTCCTTCCTTAGGGTGACAACACTACTTCTCTGTAGACAGAGTATGGGGAGTAAGGACAGGAGGTGTGTTAGTGGCACGAGTACCAGGTGAAAATAAAGGAGAAAAACGCTTGTGAAAAAAAAGAAAACGAATGCAGTCACCATATCAAAGGACTGGTAGGCGGCAGCATGGTGTATTTTTGCATTTGGGTTGATACACACTTTAAGATGTGCATATAGGCATCTTCCTCTATAGCTACCTGATAGTGAGAGGAGTGGTGTTTCTCCCTTCTGTCATAGTTCTCACAAAACCAAATCCTTCTGTACATGTATGAAACATTGTATAAGACACATCAATGTAAAGTTAATTATAACAACTGGTGATTTCATTTTAGCAGAGCTATATGACTGAAAGATGAATACTGAATGTTGTAACTAGGTCAGTCTGTTACAAATTCTAGTTATGAAGCGGCACATTATCCTTGTTCAATGTTTACATTTCTATGAATGTAAAAGTAGTGCTTCTACCCCTGTTAAGGGGTATTTATTTTTTACTATACATGCACCTCTTTGAATTTGGCAGTTGATCTGCCCATTTTCCTCTTGTAGATAATTTACCTTCTACCTTGGAGCAGCATTTACCTGTGTAAAGCCACAGCCTGTCATTGATCTGTTCAGGCAAGCTGTACACAACATGATCTGTCCAGTTTTTATGGTACACAGACTTCTGTGCCCATGTGAATGGGCCCTAAATTGCATACTGCTGCAGTTGGCTGAACAGAAATTATTTTTCTGAGGGTGCACACTTTAATGTCAAATATTATATATGAATGTAAAGCTTGGCTTCATGTTTACCATTTCTAAAAAAAAAAAAAGCAATGGCTTGAAGTGAGAAAAAGATCATGTAAAGTAATGAAGTAAAATAAAATGGCTGGAAGTACCTTGGGCTAGTACTAAAATGGTCCAGCCGGAGAGCAGACACTTCTAGTTTTCCACGGTTAACAATATGCATAATAAGACGTGTTGTTACAGTTTAGAGTTCAATGTAATATGTCATGCATAAAAACTATTTTGTATTCATTCTTCAGGCACTTGCAGTAAAATTATTCTTCACACCAGAAGACTGTGATGATCCAGTAAACAAAGCAAAAAGATACTTTTTTGAGTCAGGCAAGTGTAAAATTGCAATTGTCTGTGTTTAAATTGCTTTTACATTTATTTTGTTTTTTAAATGCGAAAATCCTCAAAATATATAATTTCCTGTTGTATTTTTCTTAAATCTATCCCAACAGCCACTAAAAATCAGTGGATGCGGCACGTTAACCATTTGTCTTGCTGGTTATGAAAATGCTTTTGTGTGCAACTGCATTGTTTAGTGAAAAGGTTGTTGTTTGTTCAGCTTAAAGTAAATGTCTGTAGTTTTTTAATTGAAGCAAATTCATTTCACTTTAGTAATTTCATTTTAATTGCTATGATTATCTTTTAAAGATGTAAAATATGTTGCAATGACTAGCTCAATCAAATATCTTTATCATATGCATCTACAGAATGCATTTATATTTTCTTTCTGCTTAAAGGCGAACTATTGGGAGAGTACTCTTCCCAATAGTTTGAGCCGGCGTGTGACACTCCAGGTGTCACATGCCAGCTCTATAGCTTGAGAACTGAGCGATCACAAACCACTGATCGCTCAGCTCACAGCTTCTCCCTGCAGAGAACGGTGCCTATTAGTCATTGCTCGCTGGTGGAATTGCCCCCTCCCCTCTCTCTATTCCTCCAGTGCTCATTGAAATGACAGACAGGGGAGGGAGTGGGCACAGACGGCTCTGACTCTAGAGAGGCAGAGCCAGCTGTTAATCAGGCAGAGGGGTAGATCCATTATTTTTGTGATCCTTCCCGGCTGCAGCGCAGCTCTGCACTGTCAGCATATAACAGGCAGTAGTACCTGGTTGATAATGGCAGACCTCAGACAAAAGAATCGCTGAAGAACCAGAATGGTGAGTGTGTATATACCATATGATAATCCCGTTGCATAAGTCATTCACAAGATGTGCGGTGATATATAAGCCACAGTATGGAACACCAGGTCATATACTAATTTACATGATGTGCATCATGGGCATGAACATAACCCCACTGTGCAACCTTGTATCAGACAGATAGATCATGTACAATGTTCCAAATAATGGCATGTAGCTGTTCAACAGTATTCCACTGTAGAAACCAATATGGATTATGTGGATGGTGCAGCTAGAACTCCTACCAGACTCAGTGGTGTGGTACATAGGCTGGGCACTGTAATAATTTAACACAGTGTCACAACCTAAAAATACATTATGAGTGTTGCAGGAGGGTCACATTACCTCGGAAGGAATTCCGCTTTAGTAGAAACCAGGGGCAGGGTAAAAATGCAGGAACAAGAACTAGGGAAAGTGCACAATAATTCTTATCTATCACTTATTGCTGGACTGTCTTGCAGTAATTGAAGATGCCGTTGCGGACAGTACTGTAACAGTCCCTGTACATAGTCTCATGAGGAAAAGATTTTAATTTGTATAATATTGTCTTAAAGGTACAAGTTTATATTAAAAACACAGTGTGTAGGGTTTAGATAGTTATAGGAAAATTTTTTATAGACTTTATTATCTGAAGTGTTTAGGCACAATGTTAAATTTAGGTTCTGTGATGTACTACAGGCACTGTTCAGTCACTGTTGGTTCCTGGACTACTTGTTCCAGCAGCCCATGCAGTAAACTAATCACATGTATGGGCAGGGATTTTATTAACCGGGATACACTGTGGAGCGAATGGGCGATTCTGGTGCAGACCAAGAATAGCCATCAGTACATGTGTAAAAAGGGTGACCCTGTTACTATGCCTTCGGCTTTCCGAAATTCCAGGTGAATCCAATATTTCATAATAAAATGGAATTTGTACTTTTGATTTGTGGGCTTTAATGTTTTCTTGGACTTCAGCTTTAATTAATCTTTGTGCTTATTTTAGGGGATGCTAAAGGTGCTCTTGCATTGATGCCCGAATTTAAAGTACGAGAAAGGATGATGCTCCGGGCTTTAAATAGATACGGAATGAGTGACGAGGGATATGTACGAAGTTGGCTCAGTATTCCACATTCAATGCGCATCTTCTACATCCATGCCTATTGCAGCAAAATCTGGAACGAAGCCGCATCTTACCGAATTGCAACTTATGGTTTGAGGGTTGTGGAAGGAGACTTGGTATTATGCTGTAAGGATGAGAATACAAAATCTTCACTATGTGATAGAGTAAGTGAATTGTTTTATCATGGAAATATCTTGTCTATTCATGTATGGAAGGAGGTCACAGCTCATAGGAGTTTTAGAAATGTAAAACTTTATAGGCCCTAGGACATAATCATAGGTTTTTTAAATATGTGTGTGCAATTTAGTTCCATTCTATATTGACTGCACTTTAAATTTTGTTTTTAAATAGGTTCATACTGTCACAGCCACAGAAGAGGCAGAAAATGTATATTTAATGAACCAGGTAACTACATTTGTTATATGATGTATATATAGTGATTACAAATGTCTACCTTCTGACTGAACCTGGGAAAATGCAGGCCACTGTGGAAATTTGGTTCTATTAATGTACTTTATTTGCGTTCAATTGTGGCCCTGGTTGCATACATTAGAACAAGAGAGGAAAGTGGCACAGCAAGTTAAAAGATAGCTAAAATCAAGAACAAACATGTCCTAATTTGCATCTAACAAGTCCTTAGATGTGATGGCTGCATTTGTTTATTTTTTTTATAGGCTAAGAACATTTTAATCAAGTAAGAAAATACCTGCCAATCTTAATTTGCAATGCAATGTCCATGTCACTTACTGTGAGCTAAACTGGAAGCATAACTACAAATCTCCTCATCTCTCCTCTAATAAAGTTTAAAAAAAGGCAGAAATGTTTAAAGTTCAGCCGCCCTCTATAAATATAGTGACGGAGTGAGTGTTGTCACCCTAAGGCAGGAAGTTTGTTATTCGCAGGATCATCTGGTAGAAATAAAGGTAACGAAGTTTGAAAAAGAAAACGAATGTAGCCGCCACATCTAAGGACTGTTAAGCTGCAATATGTGACATTTTTGCTCATGGGTTTAGACTCTGTTATAGTGGACTTGACTATTCAATAGTATTTCCAGTCCATTCATTGATTTTACATGTTGCTTGGGTTTTCTGCTTAAAAGGGTATCTAAAACCACAACATATCCTTTTAGATTTGGATAAAAAGACAAAGGGTTAGAACCTTTGTCAAGTTTTTATTGCTGTTTTTTCCCCACTGAGGGTGTTTACTGTCCCTATTTGTTATGGTAACCACTATTACTAGGACTGAAAGTGAAGGAAAATCCAAAATGTCATAACCAGAACATTTAAAGGAGGGGAAATCTTCCAATGGGCACACTTATTCCTGTGACCAGTGTCACAGGATTTGCCTCACTTTGTAGAGATTTCCTCTTCCCATTGTGTCTACAGGACAGGAATGGGAAAAAAAACCTAAAGGGTTTTTTACTCTCCCCTGCTTTAGCCAAAATGTAAAAAAGAGTTTGCGCTTTAGAAATGCATTAAGTTTATTCGAATATTTACTTTATAATAGAAGAATATGCAGAAATGGAAACCCCCAACCCTCTGGTGAACTTTGACATGTCTGCATCCAGTTGGCAGTTAAAAGAAATGTGTTCCATCTGGTCCACTTTAGGCAGAACAACACGCGTCATTTTGTCCATTTTCTGTGAGCGCTGTCTGTCATTCGCACACACATCATGCAGTTTGGACTCATAGTACTCCATTACTTAGTGATGCTTACACATTGTCAAGTGTGAGCAGACCAGCTTGAAGACTGCAAACAAATATAGGTTTTAATGAAAAATAAAAATAAACAGTCAGGTGTTGAGGGGATCTACTTTATGGGATCAGACGCATGATGGGCTGGGCAAATAAAGCTGGAGTTCTGCTTTAAATACAGAAGGACCTGAAGACGTTTGGGAGTTTGGAGCAGTTTCACTGTGTATCTCACTGAAACAATTTTCCCTTCCTCCATTTATTTGAAATGTATTTATTTTTCAGGTAGTTCTTCCAATGCCAGGTCACAGTATTAAGTATCCTTCAAATCAGGTTGGTCATTGGTATAAGGAGGCTCTAGCCAAAGCTGGTCTGCAGCTTTGTAAATTTCGAGTTGGCCCACTGCAGCTGAATATCCCAGGGTGCTACAGGCATATATTGAAATACCCACGCAACTTGTCTTATGAACTTTTTGAAGAAGATGATGTCCAAAATCAAGACAAGGAAAAATGGACAAAACCTGAGATTGTACAACCAGCAAATCCATTATTAAAGCTGTCCTTCGAATTAGATTCATCCTGCTATGCTACTGTTTGTCTTAGAGAGATGATGAAATGTAACTTTTGATTCTCTTAGGGGAGGTTGTGCTATTGCATATTATGTATATAGAAAATAAAGTATTATGAAAATGTAATTGTGAAAGCTGAATTCCAGGCAAACTAATAAATGAAGGCACAATGAAAAATGCTAGAACTGCCTTGGCAGTATCCCGTAGCAAAACAATTTAGGTAATCTGACTGCGGCTTCTATGTATGACTGAATTTTGCACATTTACATTGCTCTTCCTACCCCTTTACTGAATAACTATTGGAGTAGTAATAAGCAATATACCTTATGCTATAGCCAGGGCTTGAAAAATGTGATAGTGTCTCACCAGTCAGTCAAAAATTTCACCAGTCAGCATGACCGGACTATAGCCTTGCAATTTATGTTAAAAAAGTTTGGGGACAGATAGAGCTTTCTTTTGGAGGTATATAATCACCACGGGGGGTATTTTTTTAAACTATATAATAAAAAAAGTACCATAAATGTAGAAAAAAACTAAAAAGTTTCTCTAGCTCAAAACGCATTTACGAGGGCTATCCGGCTCTATCCTAATGGATATGCGCGGAAATACGCCCCAAAGAAGCTCCTGTACTTCTTTGGGCGTAGGGCGTTTTCAGCACGTTCCGACACGCTGAAATACGCCCAAGTGAGAACCATGCCCATAGGAAATAATGGGATTTCACTTGCTGGGCGTTTTACAGCGCGTCGATCATGTGGGGGGCGGGGACTTAAAATAAATGTTTACAAAAAATAAATGTTATGCATCTTTATTTTTTTTATGAATCTTTCATTTTTGTATAACTTTTTTTTTTTTTTACACACACTTTATTGCTAGTACATGGGCGGATAGCCAATTTACATGACAGGTCCTCTTTATGGAGACATCAGGGCTCTCCAAGACCCCTAATGTCACCTAAGGACCTCCAGAGAAGCTGATGAAGCAGAGATCGGCTTCATCAGCTTCTCTAGCTGGAGAGTGACACTAAATGCAGGAAGTGATGTAATATACATCACTTCCTGCATTCGGGGACTGAGAGGAGATCAAAGGGAGTTCGTGTACTGAACTCCCTTTGATCTCCTGTCACAGAGCCGTGCCGGTCCCAGCTGCATCGGGCACAGCGGATCTCGGGACCGGCAATGACAGCTGCTGATACAAGCGATCGAGCGTCTATAGAGACGCTCGATCGCTTGACTGTAAAGCTCCTGGCCGGCCGTGTAATTACAACGGCCGGCTGGGAAGCTGCTCGTCGGGCTCCACCGTCCTCTCGTCACAGACGAGCAGACGAGTGGATTTTTCAAGCCCTGGCTATAGCAATATATGCCATTAGATTATTTTGTTTCATGGCTGAAAACTGGCAAAATGTTATTAGACTGCAATATGTATTTTATCCTGAAGGTGGCAGTATGAAGCCAATCAATTAATCTTTACAGCAGTCTGTTTCATCTTATGCATGTTAACCATATCCAGTTGTATGCTAGAAGGTCATACGTAATAAGCCTGTTAACTGAATCCTCTATGCTAGAGGTACAAAAATGGTTTGGGATGTTGCTGGTTTGTACCTGATTTCTACAATTTTCTCACTGCTAACTGCAATATGTTTACAAGAGTACAAGCAAACCTATCCAAGAATTGATCTTATGTTTAAACATGTTTTGTGAAAAGTAGATTTTATTGCCTTAGCAACCAGTTCATTTCTAACTGTCATATTCTCAAGAAAAAATTGAGAATGATTAGCATCAATTGAGATTCCCCATATGGGTTAGTGGTTAAATCATTAAAAAGTTGGTACTAGAAAATGTAGCTAGTTGACATTAAGAAAAGATGACTAAATACAACAGTATTTGACTTTTTTAATTCACAGTTGCTTGTGAACTCTGTAACATCCCTTTACTAATCTTACAAAGCATACTGTAACTTTCTGCAGATTCTCAGTGTCTGGGAAGGAATTACAGGGTTTATCCTAAGCTACCTGTAGTGCATTAGTTAGGAATCCCTGCTATAGTATTTTTATGTGGAGCCTCCTGCCCTGTAATGATCTCATGCCAAAGTGATTTTTACTCTTGTACAGATGTTTAGCGTATGAAGTCTTTAACACCATGTAAGTCATGCAAGTTGGTTGGAAACATTATTTAACCTCTTGACAGCAACAAACAATTTCCAGCCCCCCTTCCCTACCTCCCTAGCCTCTGTTGGCAGAGCAGATGCTGGGCATGTGGTGGTTTGTTTAATGTGTTTAAACTATATGTGTCTCGATGGAGCAGAAATTACATTATGAAAGCAGCTACTTGACCTTCTTAGTTGTGACAAGTTTAAAGTGAACCTGTGCGTTACCCTGGCAGGCCAAAGCAGCAGGTTCACTTTAAAGGGAACCCATACCGCTGCTTATCCCTGTGTAAGAACCAAGCTGTCTTAAAGGAGAACTATGAGGTGAGTGATTTTCACTCACCTCATAGTTCTAGCCGACCTGTGACAATGAGACTGTCACAGGTCGGCTCAGTAGATCGGGAGGTGAGCGAACACATACCGGCGTTCGCTCACCTCTCGATCCTGTCACGGCTCTCTGCCGTGACAGGGAAGGGGCTGGATTCCCCCCTCCCCGCTCCGATCCGCCACTTCCTGTAACTGCTTACTTCCTGCAACTGCTATCTATATGTACCCTTTCTTATAGACAATGTAGAAAGTGTTTATATCCAAATAGTTGTATCCTGTTTTTAACGGGCAGAGACTTCTATGACTTGCATGTTTGGCAGCCTTCGTTTGGACTGATACGGGCTGCAATGCATGAACTAAGAGATCTCTTACATATTTTTAGGGTAACAAAATTCAATAACAACTTCTCATATATCTGCACTCTGTAGCAGCCGCCCATGTTTTAGGATGTGCAGATAAGATGTTGATTTGACTACATATCAAATTTTATGTCACTCACAGATCTATCTTCTGACCTAAACTTTCTGGCAGCCTTCATGGAACCTCTTGGCCGCCCTGGGAGCGCACGTTATACGCCGGGATGAGCGGCATGGTATGGTGCAGAGTATGATCATTCGGGGATAGTGTAGGATGCAGATGGGGGGTTCGTCCTGGAGGAAGTGGACAGTGAGGGCTGTTTGATTCCTCCATTTGGACTGTCCCTGTGTATCTTTCTCCTCTCTCTCCACCTCTCTGGGCTTGCGGGTGTTGTTCCCCGGACCAAATGGTTTGACCCACCATCACTTACCAGAAACATTCTTGCTATCAGCGATCTCCCATACTTTCTGAAGAAGCTTGTGGCGAAATGCATCGAAGGCTAGACTCACTGCACAGTCAAGCATGAATTTATGAGAAACACTATAAAAACACAATATGGATATTGTTTAAAGTCAAGGAATTTATTAAATAAATAAGACTGTATATCATGACTGTATATGATGTGCATATGTGATCCAGGGGGCGCTATGTTTTGGGATAAGAACCTGCCTTCTGGTATTTGTTTTTTACATTGGTTTCATGTACACTTCTAATATTCATGTAACTTTTTAAATAATAAACTATTGGTTTTCATTAATTGATATAATTTGATCATAACCTGTATATCCGGCTCTTTTTTTGTTGGTATTCAATTATTTAGGGGTGTGGTGTCCAAATTTTCTCTGGTGGTTCAACCAATCTTGTATACAAAAATATCAATTGATGTAATGATGCACTGTGGAAGAAGTAAGCACACCCTTGACATTAAAAGCTGGTATTGCCCCCTGTAGCAGAAATTAATTCTTGTAGGCATTTTGTATAACTGCCCACCAGACTGACATAGAAATTTGTGACCACTTCTCCATGTGAAATTTCTTCATTTGCAAGATGTTTGTGGGATTCCTTGCATGAACTGGCCATTGAAAAATGCTCCTACAAATGGAATCAAATAAGGCTTTGACTACAGCAGTCCATCACCCTATATATCTTCTATTCGGGCCATTCCTTGGTGAATTTGCTAGTATGCTTCGGATCATTATTGTGTTGAGTTCCTCATTTCAATTTTAATTTGTGCACAGTGGGTCTCACATCCTCATCTAGCACATTTTGACATGATGCAGAATGTATTGTCGATTCAATGAGCGGATGAATGAGGCATCAAACTCAAACCATAACATTCTACCACTATGTGTCACAGTTGTTATGAGGTTCTGTTCCTGGAATACTGGCTTTTGTATGTGGCAAACATGTCTACTGTTACTGTGACCATACAATTCCATCTTTGAGTAATCAGTCTTCAGCACATTGCTACAGAAGGCCTGGTCTTTGTCTATATGTTCAATGGCAAACTATAATCCTACTGCAATGTTCTTTCACTTTGACCCCATCTGTTTTAAAAGTCACCTGAACACTCCATAATTCAATTTTGGGGTTTGTGCAGACTTCTTTTAGCATCAAATAGTCAGCTCTGGGGTTGAATTTTTTCTGGGCTGGTCAGTCCTGGACAAATTAACTGTTGTATGAAATCTACACAACATAGATTATTTTCCTTACAATTAAATGATAGATTTCAAACCATATTTTTGTTTCTTTTTAATCACTTGGCAGACTCATAGGCATCCACAGCCTTCTTTCTGAGGGTGCTAGAAAGCTCTTTTGATCTTGGCATCATGATATCACCACACATATCAATAGCAAAGGGAACACCAGATCCTAGATATATGAGATTTAAATAAAACAGGTTCCATCTGCCTACTCCCTAATGAGGCTCTAATCATTTATACCTACTCTGGAACACTGGATTCTGATTTCATGGATGTGAAGTGGTGGTAATTATAGGGGTGTACTTACTTTATCCATATGATAAATCTCCATTTTTGTATTTCATGAAAACAAATTTATTGTGCCAGTTTTACATATATCACCTTTATCTGTAGACACTATTTAAATCAAAATCTAATGTTTGCCTGTTCAAATATGTTGAAAACGTCAACAACATCGATGAGTTGTACTTTCACATGAAAGTATATTGATGGACAAAATGGGACACCCAAGCACTGAGTTCATATTATTACAGACAGATGTTGATGTTGGCTGTGAATGCTGAAGTGCAGGAGTCTTCTCATTCTCTGCTTTCCCAGGATCTCACCGGAAGGCCCATGATGTCATCCTTGCCTAGGCATCATGGGCAGAAGC